AGTTTAACAAAAATAATATAAATAACTAAATACCCAAAGTAAAAATGTTATTTTTTTTATTATTTTTGTTATCTCCAAAATGCTCTCTCCTATAGTAATGTCATTCTAGTTTTCTTCTTTTTTTCCTTCAACTTTATCATAACTAATCTATTTTTTGTTATCCATAATTAATATTGTAAGGAATATACATGAAAATAATAATTGATAGTACAATAAAAAGATAATATAATACTTATTTTGACGTTTTTATATGACAGATATTATGAGAGAGAAAGAGTGAAATTTTAAATTTTCTTAATTTTCAAATATTAATTATTGTTGTACTTTAATTAAATCGTGCATATACTCATCTGTGAGATTATTAAATGTGTTAGTTAGTGTATCTATGTCCTGTTATTATGACTTCTTTCAGTCTTCATTGGATAAAATAAGAGCAATATAATTGAAGAAAGATGACATCATATTTATTGAAAAGAGGAAAAAAAACATTTAAATCAATTAATAAAAGTCTCTAAATGCAACCAACCCCCAACGCCGGTCATTTCCGCAACTCCCACCCACCTCTGCAACACAAATTACTACCATACTCTAAATGAAATCTTTTCAATAATTTTTTTAATTGCTCCTATATTTAATCCTTTGTTTCGGGTACATATCCAACGTTTATTTAAAATAATTTTTTGTTTTTCACACTTTGTTGTTGTCTTCTTCGTATTAAGGTAATATATTTCTTCGTATTAAGGTAATATATTTCTTCATATTAAGGTAATATATTTGTAAAATATCTACTAAAAATATTTTGAGACTAAAATTAGTTTAAGTTACCGATTAAAGCAATTAATACTATAATAAATATGTTATAAAAAGTTTTAACAATTATAATTTTGATTTATAAAGATGTTCTTAAAGACGAAGTGCTCTTACATCTAACCAAGTAGATGTGACTGTTGAATATGTCCATAATTTTTGGATTTTGAGTTTTAATTTTCATTTTCTTTTTCTTTTAAAAGTTGATTTTGTTTATCTTTTGATGATTTCATAGGTCGATTTGATATAACTGATATAGATATGTCTTTTGTAAGTCAATAATTACTAGATTGATTACCACACTTGCAAAACTCTTTAAAGCAATACAAATTCACTCAATCAATCTTCACAAACTTTCCTTTTTAATCCATCAGATTGTGTTTGCCTTGATCGATTTGAAATGAATTTGTCCTTAGCGCGATAGGTATGAGTTTATGTAATGAATTCATTCTTGACTTAACTAATTTTAACGATGAGGGTTCGACAATGATTCTTTTATAACTGATCCTTAGTGGGTTCATTGAATGGTGCAGTAAGGATTCTTTGAATGAACTTTTCCTTAACCATTTTTAATGGTGAATATTCGGTAGGGGTTCTTTTAGAACATTTTCTTAATCGATTGTATATGTGCAAATGATAGGGGTTTGTTTATAACTCTTTTGTAATCGATTGTATGTGCTCGAACTGCAGATTTTTTTTTTTAAAAAAACTCTTCCTTAACATATCAGTTGATTGAGTGGCTAAGGTTTATTGGATGAACTTTTCGTTAACTGACGAATGATCTTCATATGAGAAGAAGAAACATGCTTTATGCTCAACTCCTTGTAAAACTCCCTTAACTTCCTATCTATAACTTGCTTATTGTTATCAATAACAACTGCTTGAGATAGTTCAAATTGACAAATTATGTTCTTCCAGACAAACAATTGTATTTACTAAGCAGTTATGGTAGCTAAGGCTTTTGCTTCCACCCACTTGGTGAAGTAATCTATTGCCACCAAGATGAATTTATTCTATGCTCGACCGACCAAAAATGGGCCAACAATATCCATTCTCCATTGCTTGAACGACTATGGAGAGACAATGTTGTGCAACTCTAAAGAGGGTGCCTTAACATCATTGACGTGCTTTTGGCATCTATTGCATTCTTCAACAAACCTATTGCAATGACTTTGATTATTGGCCAAAAGTATCTCGTTCGTAGAACTTACTGTTTCATTATGTTGCATGTCGTAAACACGTTGTGTAGCTCATCCATTACATATTGAGCTTCTTCCTTATATAGACATTTGAGGAAAGGCGTTGAAGATCTCTTCTTATAAAGGTCGTCACCATTGTAACAAACCAAATGATTGTTATTTATGTTGATAGTTTTCTTCATAAACTTTTGATTAGGATCGATCTAATTATGGTTTAATTCTTTTTAAACTTGATTATTAATTTATTTATGCTAATTAGATGTTTAACTGATTTTAACCGTAATCGATCAATTTTCTCTATGTATCGAGTGATTAACCTTACTATTATATGGTCGATATATACCGTGGTTGTATACAATACAATTCTATTTGTGAATATAAAAAGTTATAAAAATAATTTACCCGTTTAAAGAATCATTAGAAAATTATAAAAATTAGAATTATTAAAATACAATTCAATGTTTAATCAGTGCATATCCCATATACGGATACGCCCCACGCCCTAAAAGTTATTCTAATTTCTAATTTAGCATGATGGCTTAGGTAAAGAAGTTAATTATGTACTTATGTTGATCTTATCTTATGTAAGGAAAGTTATGTTTATGTCCCAAGCTTCGTGCCAAAAAAGTAAAGTCGTGATATCACACGTAAATCTATATTTTAAGGTTAATTATGAGTTATCGCATTTAAATCTCTGTGTTCTTTTAATTCAACAAATTGTTGCAAGGGGAAATCAAACTATATGGTGTGAGTAAAATCTAAATCATTAGGTATTATTCTTAAAGATACATTAAAATTTGTCGTGTAAGCGTGTTCAATTGCGTAAATTTTCCAGTTCCATAAGGGGACATGATTCTTGTTTGTCATACAATTATTAACTTATTTTGGTACGCAATGATTTAGCAATTTAGTATTAAATTGAAGCCTCTAACAAATATTTTTCCCTTTAAATGTAATGTAGTTAATTAACTGAAGTTCATGGACGCTTAATTATATTTTGAAACGGAAGATTGGGTTTTTTCTTCTAAAATACCAACTAATTTATTCAATGATTTTGCAAGTCGGAAGCCAAATATAAGAATTATTAATCCATTATCTGTTATATCCTTACCGATAAATCATGATTATGAGTTTGATGATTGGTCTATTCATCATAATGAGAGTATTTTGTTAGTTAAATTGGAAACTCGATCGATCATAGTAAGGTAGGAACATTTGGGGTACCTATATAGTTAGAAGAATACGATTTTCGATTTGAACATACATGGTGAGTTGTACGCAACCGAGTGGTTCCTTTACTTTGGTCCCTGTGTATATAAAAACACTTTCTTTTCCCTACTTTTCTCCCTCCATTTACGCAACTTGGCCCACCCCTTGTGTGTATTTTAGCTCCAAATCTAAAAAGCAATTCCATTTCTTCTTCTTCATCTTCTTCTGTTCAACCAATTTGAATATCCACCCAACGCAAAGGTAGTTCGTCCTTTGTTATCTTTTTCGTTTTTTCTAACTGATTCCTGACACTTATTTCTTTTCCTCGTATCTCCGAGCAATGTGTAACTAAAGCAGGAGAAGCTGTGTTTTTGTTTTGTTGTAGGCAAAGGAAGAGGTGGAAATGTTTTGGGGGGCTTGGTAGTGATCATGGGTTGTGCGAGTTCAAAGCAAAAGCGATGTCGGCGTTGCAATGCTCCTTATTCTCCTGCTCCCAGAAGCTACTCAATGCATGTTCACCATCCACCTCAGGAACAAGGTGATAGCTATCATGTTGTGGCACTCACTTCCACGACATTGGGCACTCTAAAACTCAATTCTCCCGCTCCAACTCACAGTTTCGCTGGGAATTGTGATCACGATTTCAGGCTTTCCAATGGTAAGGTTGGTAATGCCGAAAGTTTCAGGTTTGATAGTGATAGCTTTGTCCATAGGCCGGAGGCGAAAGAGAAGAGTGAGGAATTGGAGAAAGAGAAAATAAAAGAGTTCTCAATGGGGTTGATTGAGGCCAAGACTTGGTCTACCATGATTGAACAGAAGTTGCCGAAAGTTTTTCCCAAGACCCCAATTAGAACGCCGCCCGGTGAGCCTGAGACGATCAACACATGGGAACTAATGGAAGGTCTTGAAGACACCACCCCTTTCCGCTCTCCAAGTCACTTCCGGAGCTTCACCTTTGATGTCAATGGTGATGACGTTGGTGAGGTTGATCCACCCAAAATGAGTGTTGTTGCTTCTCCAAAACCCATGTGGCTTCTGATGACTGAGGAGGAATCAAAACTCACTCCTGCAATCTCAGACTTTGACCCTGAAATGATTTCTTCGTTCAGAAAGTCCTTGCAACAACTCTCTCCAGACAGTCCTTTCCACCTTCGACCGGCACCGGGTGATGAAGATATTCATGGGACTACGAAGTGGTCCCTATTTGAGGAAAATAAAACGAAAGGTGATGATGTTTTTGTGGATGATTTGAAGGTTGATGATCCGTGTGGGAAAGATAAGGTGGTGTTGTACTTCACTAGCTTACGCGGCGTGCGAAAGACTTATGAGGATTGTTGCCAAGTGAAATTGATTCTGAAGGGATTAGGAGTGAGGGTGGATGAGAGGGACGTGTCTATGCACTCAGGGTTCAAGGAGGAGCTTAGAGAGTTACTGGGTGAAGGGTATGGGGGTTTGGGATTGCCAAGGGTGTTTGTTGGGAAGAATCACATTGGTGGAGTTGAGGAAATTCAGAGGCTTCATGAGGATGGAAAGCTTGAGAAGCTTTTGGGTTATTGTGAGAATATTGAGGAAAGTGTTGGATGTGATGGAGGGGGAGTGTGTGAGGCTTGTGGGGATATAAGGTTTGTTCCCTGTGAAACCTGTTCTGGAAGTTGTAAAATTTACTATGAAGGTGATGAAAATGAAGAAGAGTATGTTGATGGTGAGGTGGGGGAGTATGGATTCCAGCGTTGCCCTGATTGCAATGAAAATGGACTGATTCGTTGCCCCATTTGTTGCTGTTAGTTCCCAATTCCGGGAGATACTTCCAAGAGGTACTGAAACAAAATTTTGAGTCTTATTCCTAAGGGCATTTTGTACTTTGTGAAATTTTGTTGTACAGTAAAGTCTTTGTGTTGGATATTAGTGAGGAGTGAATAACGTGTTCACATCACTCCCTCTACATAATCAGTGTAGTTTGCTACATAGAGTATACTTTTCATTTTCCCTTTTGTATACCATTGCCTTTCTTGCAAAGTCAAGAAGAAATGCAGAAGAGAATTATAAAGTTGATTGGTATCGTTTGCATTCTTTCCCTTCATGATTTGTCTTTACAAATTTGATGATGTAATGTTTGCAAGTTATTTCATGGTAGGCTCTGAAGCTTTTCAAGCCTAGAGTTGAACCAAATGCACTTGAGGGTATGAGGTTTGTGAGCTCAATGCAGTTGTCATGCTTCTCATCTTTTTCTATCAAATTTTGACCACTTCACTATTTAAGAACGTGGATGGCTAGCACATCTTTTCTAGTCCCTCATTTTAAAATTGATTGGTTACTGATATAATCTATTCGTTCTCTGCTTTAATGGCTTATTTTTATATTTGTTTTGAAGTGATTGTTTTCTAAAGCATTCATGCACATTTTAGTGGGGGCATAAAATATCATGTGAGGAGGACATAGTATAGGTCAACTTTGGAAAGAGGCTTGCGATTGAGTCAAATCATGCTTCTCTGGATGGAAAAGCACTATATTTACATGTGAACTTATCACAACCTATAGACGATTTCTTTTAAAACCTACTTTAACAGTTGGAAATATAAAGTTCCTTTGAAATTAAAGTTTCAAAAGCAAAAGACAGTTATATGTTTCTTTCTTTTATTCTTCTCAGCCATTAAGTTAGAGGATTGGTTTTTGGCTTTCAAGAATATTCCTACAAGAGACTAATCCATCAACTTATACCATCAAACACCAAAGAGAAATACTTTTCTTAACGGGTTTTTTTATAATTTGAGAGCATTAATATAAAGGAATTTAAGAGCATTGCTATGAAATCTAATAATTTGTGCAAGAAAATGACACTGCATGGTCCAGATGGTCCAAAACATAAAAGACAACAAGGAACACCAATTTTGACTTGAGGTTTCATCACAGCATATCTCCAAAGAAGCTGTGGAAAATGGTGAAAGGGCGTTGCCATATTTGAGACACCCTATTATGTGAAATAATTAATATAATTCATAGGTTCACTAATAGAAATCCATGTGGTGCCATTTACAAAAGAATGCACCGCTAGGAATGCTAGCACCATACAAATGATCTGTGCCAAGGAAGCAAAGATTTTTTTTTTCCTTACCTACTTATGTCCTTTTAATCATCCTCATATAATGCAAATCAATGGCCATAGATGCAAGAAAACCAAGATAAGCTACACGTCCCTTGCCGTCCAATCAAGATCGCAACACACTTAGGTAAGAGGTAGATGACAACTACAGTGCTGAAATTGTTGTAAATGCAGATAGCTTATTTATGTGGAGAGCAATGTTAGATGTAGAATACACAAACTATAACATTAATTTTCTTATGATTTCATAAAAATCACCTAACATTGTTACTGACCCCCTACAGCTATAAACAGTTTTTCATTTAACAAGGATCAATGCATCGTCACAAAAGGGTGTAGTACTAGATTGGCATGAAAATTTTTCATATAATAACAAATGATGGAAGGATTTTGAGACCTCGATATATCTAAAATGTTATTGTACCGTAAGGTCAGACGACCCAAAAAGATAAGAAGAAATTGAACGGTTCAGAACAAAACAAAATTTTGACAGTCTGGTCCGGATGGATCATCCAAGAAGGACCGGACGGCCTACCTTTGTAATCAATTTCTCTTAAAAGCAAAGTTAAATGTAAATATTGATTAAGTGTAATAGACTGAAATTGGGTCGTAATTAAGGTTTTACTAATCTCAAGCTCATCTCGAAAATTATAAATAAAAGTCATAAGTAAGAGGTAGGAGATCATATTTATTGTACATTTAAGAATATTACTCTGACCCCAGATTGTTTAGTGACTTAAGCATCAAAATACCTTTAACATGAACCTCTAGTCGATTGGAGCAAAGATGTTGATAAAACGAAAATATAGTGTCCCAAACGATTTTGAAGGAAATTGTAAAGGTTTATAGAAATTGTTTCACCCTATACCCGAACCAGTTATAATTCACATTAATATTATCTCTTTACATGATCTTATTTGGAGATTGGCATGAAAATAATTACATAGTGAGTTTATCATAGTAAAACTCGCTTACCTTTTAGACAGAGAAGTTATATATCTAATAGCTTATAATATGAGTGAAAAAGTTTAACCGTAAAGAAAAGAGTCCATGTATGAAAAAGAAACCAACCAACCACTACCCGACTTTGATGGTATATAAAGTATTGCAACTGGCAGATTGTCGTAGGAATGGAAAAGGAGGAGACACACTTTGACAGTACCCATTCACCAAACCCAAGCAACAAGCCAATCCCTGATCAACGATACATAAGATATGTAATCAATGTGTACTTTTAACAAAAAAATGAAAAGAATGGATAAATGTGGTTACATTTTCCTACTGACACGGTATCAGGACCAGCAAGAAATAGTACATTTAAATAATTGACATCAGTGCATGTAAGTTATTATTATTAGACCAAAGTAAGTCGACTACGCAAAACAGTAGTTGAGTCGTATAGAGAGAATGATAAATTGTTTGCAATGTATGCTGGCTAGGATGCCTTCAAAAACATAACAATGAAGTTGGCAGGGAATCAATCACTGCATACAAATATTAGAAAGTAGTTCACATGTTATAATGTAAATTGTTGGTTACTTATGTTTTGATTGCAACAACCGTGGGTTGAAGACAACGTGAAAAGATGTTGATGCAACAAATCTTCTGACACCATAAATTAATTATTTTTTATGGAGGAAGCCAAGCAATGCCTATTTTGCATCTTTCCTGCACAGCATCTGGTTTGAAGTGCCTTCCTTATTACAGTAATCCCTTTCTTTTCTGAGTAATTTTCTTCAATTCTTTTTTTTATTTATAACAAATGTGGTAAAACAAGAAGACACCTTCAATGATACCAAACATAGTATTAATGACATGTTTGAAAGCTAACACGAGCTCATTGTTACATCACTTTAGATGTGCACATAAATAGGAATTAAGCAATAGTTGAGACTTACCTTGTTATTTAACATCTCTAGTATAAATAGAAGTACCTTTTTGTAATCTTTCATCACCTTTTATCTATAATCTATGATCATATTAAATGGGTGACTCGCATCTCCAAATCACATGCAAGCAATTTTATTTAGTCAGAAGCGTTACCATTAGCTATTTAAGAGAGCCTTTAAGAAAATAATATTTCCACCACAATTAATCCATCCAAAGCATTCCCTTCATATAAGTTTTGCACCTTGATATGAAAGTTGGCGCTTAAAATTTAAAACTGTCATTTTGTAAAACGATACACATATATAAGTGGCTTCTTACCATGGATTCTTAAAAACTACTGATATGAACATTTGCACCAGATGAGTAGCCACACATGTAAAGCAAGTTCGTGCCTTATAATACAGTATCAACAAACAAATGATGCTATTTGTTTGTGTCCAAGGACTCAACATATAACGCAGCAGTTTTTGTTTGGAGTTTCATTTCTTTTCACTCTGACCCAGATCAGCAGTTGCTTTGGCTGCACGTGTCAACATATCTGAAACCCAAAGAGCACCTTTGGCAAAGTACCTACTGTTGGCTATAGCATTTCCAGCTGCCACAGCAGCTTTACCGGTAACTGATGCAACAACTATAGCTGTTGTCCCTGTGACTGTTGCGGCTGATTTGGTGAAGTCTGTGACATGATACTTCTCATCCACAGATTTAAAAGTTTCAATGCCTGAATTAATGGAATCAGTCAGGCCAATTTTATTGCTGAGTTCAGCAACCTTTGATGATGCTGTAGACGACACATTATGAGATTCATCAAAAGCTTTTGCCATGACAAATGCATCTTTTCCCAACACATAGCCCTTAGCCACCATTGTTTTGACAACCACTTGAGCCAGAGTTAGTGCTTCTCCAGGGGAAGAAACAAACTTATCCATGCGATCATCCTGTCAATGAAAACAACCGTTAATCGATTCTTGACCTCAAACAGCAACCACGCAAGCCACTTTTTACAATTTATAGAGGTGGATTGTTGTGAAGTTTTAGGATAAGTTGGGTTTTTCTACCAGATTCTTTTAATGATGAATTGAGGTAATATGTAACATGAAGTGATACATCAAGATAGAAATTCGTAAGCCAACTTCAAAGTGCATAAAACTTACCTCACTAAACTCATGGAGTTAACAAATTCTATCGACTATTAACTAAAATAGATGACCATACCATTAGGTAAGTTACTACTAAGGATGAGAAGGAAATAAATGCAAGAACACAAATCAAAATATGTTAGAAGCACTATATTCTTTAGTGCATGAAAGGCAAGCCACAAATTTCAAGGTACTGAGACATAGTCATGGATCTCAGTTGCATAAAAGCCTCTAGGAGACATAACATACTAGTAAAATATGAGAAAATCCAATTTTCCAAAATATAAATTCCTATTTAGTTTAAGGATTTCACTAAAAATTACAAAAAAAGGGTCTCTTTTTCACTTTATTTCATGTTCTCCTTCAGAAACATAGAATAAAAGGTGATTGAAAACATAAAAAATAACAGCAGAAAACTTTTCTGTGAACACAATAGACCATAAATTCCCCACAATTGATACTGAACCATATTGCAGAAAAATAAAGCCTGTCATTCCCCAAGTTTCAAATAACTGCTAATTATTTTTCATAATAAATAGCTTTTCATGCGTAAACCAAAGGATAAAAAATAGGACCATGATATGTCAACAACTTTTTTACAATAGACTATGTGTCACTATTTTATTGGTCCGTATATTTGAAATGGACCAATCAGAAGCTACCACTACCACATAGACGGTTGTAAAAAAGTTGTCATAAAAAGTTGTTAAAAAAACATTTTCCTAAAAAATAACCTGAAATGTACATCATTGTTTATGAATTTTTATGAATAGGCATAAAAAAACTTCTGTCAGTTTGGTCTAACTAAAAGAAACAGGCGATTCTGAGGATTTGAGGCACACTTGTGAGATTGTAATACTGTCTTCAGGCTTTGATACATGACTACCCCAATCATCATAGTCATTTACGTAAGCTTCATAGCGTGAAATGAATATACATTGGTCCAATATCATTGATCCCTGAAACAACATTGAACCAAATATGTAGGTATTAACAAACAATATTCAGGTGAGAACAAATTAACAATGCCACCACTGATAAATTAATTTCTGCAACATCAGAAGATGAATTTGATTTAAAAGAGATTCAAGTAATACAGTATTTCAGTAACAAATTTCCTCTAATGCAATGGAAATTTCATAAATTATTACTTTTTATCATCCTTTCTTGAACTGTGTTAATAAAAGAACATGATGCAACAGTGATTGTCATCATTATCTACATTCTGAAGTTGAAAACATCTCGAAACAAAATTGTGAGAAACAAATGAAGGAACTCGTTGTATGTTATGTCAATCCATGATATCCTACAAGAAGGGGCAAGCAAGTAAGAGAATAAATAAGCAACTTACATTTAGCAATAGTGCAGTTTCAAGTGCATAGGCATCCCGATAAGTCACATATGCAGTAGATGCATTGTCATCAGATCTGTATCACGACAAAAAGAACTATTATTCATATTGTTTCTAAGAAACCTTGATATTGTAACTACAAAGTCGCCTAACAATGCTATCCTTTAGGCTCTGCAACTTGCAAGTATAAATCTTTCTGCAGAACTATACTGTGAAATAACGTAACATCTTTGAAGTATTCAATCCAAGCATGCAAATTGTTATTATTGAGTGATTAGGAACACAGAATACACACTCAAAACAACAGAATTTTGAATGTCCTTCAATTACCTAAGCCAGAGACTCCTATGTAACATACTGATCAAGACTTGATTTTCTACATCTGTCGCATTTTCTTATGACTTGTCTCAAATATTTACATTGGTGCTGGGAGAAATTAGATAGTAGTATGGGTGAAGCACAATCACCAAAAGGAAAATGAAGATTCTGATTCATTATGTTTGTAGTCCACCATGCTAATCTGAGTGAGGGGCTCGTAGATCATATCATCTATCCTACGAAAAGGTTCAATTTTGATACCCAGAAATTTACCAGCAAAAGTAACATTACCTTATTATTTCAACATGCTCAATTAGACCACAATAAGCAAAAAAATTGTGTACATCGTTCTCTGTTGCTCTTGGAGATAAGTTTGTAACTAGAGCAGTATAACCGTCAGTATACATAGTGACTCAATCTCAAAAGAGAAAAAGTAGGAGCAGGTTCAACAAATCTGCAGAAAGTAAACCAAGTAAAAAAAATTGACTGACTACTTTATAGAGGAAAAGATGTAAGGATAATTCATGTAACTTCAGAAACTGGTAGTGGGAACAGGCTTGCCTTTCCCTTTGATCTCTCCATCAACAAGGCCATGCATTGGTAGAACAAACAATGAAGATAAGAAAAACTACACTAAATGATAGAAAACATTATCTATAATTCAGTAGCATACATTATCTATCAAGAGATTGTAAATTTCAAAATATTTGGTGGTCCTCGACATATATCTGCCACAATTTTAACGCACAACTATACCACAGATCACATGACTATCATTTCAATTGTTTTATTTATTATTTTAAAACACAAATTAGAATGAAGACTGCCCATCAACAAAAGACATAATTTTTTTCACCCTCAAGCAAACAATGGAAACCAATCCAACTCAATCAAATTCTATAATGTTAAACTGGATACGGAATCACCACCACCGCAATTGAAAAAAACACTGATTTGATCCACAAAAGAGACAGAACAATAAACTAAAACAAAACAATCGAAAAAAAGACAACATCAATACGAGAAATACCAGAAAGAGATTGAAAATGGTTATATGTTTTACCTTACAGTTGTTGTCGGCGAACTGAAGCAGGGGAAAGTTTAGAGAGAGAGAGAGAGAATGTCAGCAGATAATGAATCCGAAGTGGAATTGTTTGGTTTTGTGATTAGAGCAATGGAAAATGATAATTTGTGCAATCTCACGCGCCTGACATTTGTCTTGTGTAGCATTCTGGTTGGTTGATTATACATGCAATAGAGTACGTGGATTGTTAGTATTTTCTCAATTCAACTGGCGCGTAATACTTATTGCTGTCCTAAGAGCGTGAGTGATAAAGTTTGTTCCATTGATTTCTTCTAGATTTATTATTAGTGTGAAACTGAATTACAGTGACAGGGTTGGTAGGTGGCAAAGATTAATGCAAAAGTGAAGTGAGAGGTAAAAAGATAGCTTTTAGGCTGCTTTTCGTCTTGTGAGTTATCTCTAGGAAATAGTTTTATTTAATGCAAAAGTTATGCCTTTTTCATAAAAAAAAAATGTAAACCCCTTTCTTCCATTTGAATTTAATTTTTTCTTTGGAGCATTCCAAATTTACTTTTTAAAAAATTAAATTATTATACAATCCCTACTGATAAAATTATATACTATTTTGGTCCCGTGTTATTTGAAATTATTACCAATTACAAATTATTAAATGTTATTTTTCTATATCGTACACACTTTGTTATGAAGTGGAAAAAAAAGCACTATAAATTAGAGAGAATTATTGAAAAAAGATAGGAGATATCATTCAAATGGTGCTTACAAAGAAGGGATCTAGGCACCACCTTTCCCAGATGGAGTATATGTGTTTTCATGAGTGAATACTTATACATTTATTGTGTATTACAAGTATCTATTTGAATTGGACAAAAATTAATTTTGAATTAACCTTTTATATAATTGAAACTAAAACCATTAAAATTTAAAAAGAAATAAAAATATAAAATATTTAAGTTTCTTAGTGTAGGTCGAGATCTCCTTATAGTATTTCATTTCACAGTTTTCACTCCTAAATATATGATTACGCCCTATTCAGCTAAATTGTAAATATAAGGTGATACAATATAATATGAAACTCAAATCAACTGTACATGATCATAGATGAACAATGCTTTTGTTTTCTAAATAATTTTCTTTTATATATGAATTTTTGTTCGAGTGAACTTACTGTAAGTTGGATCTAGTCTAATAATTTCTAAGATGTATTAATATTAGAGATAAAAAATAATTTTATTCACGTTAGTATTGTTTGAACTCATTTCATTTTGAATTTTTTTTGCATCAACTGAATATGATTATAAATAATAATTACTTTTTCAGTTGAGTATGAAAATATATATATTGGTCATATTCATGTACTCACCATAATATCCATTCTCGCTTTAAATTTTTCTTTTAATTATAAACTTTGTGCAATTATGTTTATGTGATGTAACTAAATATTTTTTATGTCTTACATTTAAATATTTTTACTTTTTTTAATAGTTTTATTAATTGTATATTTTCTTTTTACATGATAATGTTTAATCCTTTCAATTTAAGTGTTCAATAATTATTATTAGCATATAAAAAATATATTAAGTTATTAAATTTCAAAAAACAAAAAAAATTATGTTAAATTTTAATATTTTTTATGTGAGCAAACATTTAAAATATTTTTTTAATTTGAACATTTGTTTTTCTTTCATATGTTTTAAAATATTTTTAAATTTTATTTGCTAGATTTTATTATTATTTAGAAATTTAATAAATATTTTGATTGTAATAAAATTTTATTTTATATTTTAATTTGAAATGGATATAATTATAATATTTTTTAAATATTTAATATTAAAGATATAATAATATTATATTTTTAATATTAAATATTTAATAATATTATGTTTTTTTATCATATTTTTTATTATTTTATAAAAATTATTGAAATTACAGTAAAAAATAATAATATAGATACCGAATGATTATGTACCTATTACCTAATGAGAGTGTAGATGAAAAAAAATAATATCTGTAGAATTAGGATATGAGATAAAGATGATTTTTTTTCTCAAAAATAAATATAAAATAATGAAACTCATTTGTTGTCATTTCTAACTAATCATATAATTAATGTTTTAATTATTCTATTATAAGTTTTAATCATAAATCAAGATGACACATAATTTGATCCTATATATTTATAATTAATTATATATTTATTCAACGTAAAGAATTGTAATAGCAACACCAATTCCTAATAAAAAAAAATTACTTTTGATGATGATCTACCATCTTTATATCATCATATTACCAGACTCTATTCTTCTCTTCTTTATACAATTTTCTAAAAGTTCTTGTTATCACCATTTCTTTATTAACTTTTTTAATTATTTGGATGGATTCTTATTTTTCAAGATATTGATACACTATTATATTTTTAATTTAACATTAACAAACAAAACAAATTTTTTTAGACAATGTAATTTAAACTTTTTCATTTGTCGTCGTGTTTGAATATTGATATAGTAGTTATTTATACTTTTTTATTGAAATATGTACACACGGTTTAAGTTTAATTAACTTAAATATGTACAAAGGTTGAGAAAGAACCTACTTTGAGATTGAGTACTTTATGAAAGCAACTTCATATTTTCCCAAACAAAACAATTATGTGAATTTGTATCATTTCTAATATTACATTAAATATTATTTGGTAGAGAAGTAAAGATGTATTATAAAATAAATTATCTACAATTGAAAAATATTACTAATAAAGTACTTCATCAATTTTGTTAGTTTTTGAAGAAAAAAAGAGAGTAGAGATTATAAAAGAATTTAGATTTTGTTTCATATTTAATGAGTTTCATATATAATTATGTAATTATCAATAATTTTAAAATAATGGAAATAGCATTTAGAGGGAATACATTGAGAGCCATCACTAATAGTATTTTTAGTCCACAATTGCATAGTATGCTATTTTATATCATAGAAAAAGTAATGTATGCATCGGCAATGCAAAGAATTTGTACACCATTGTCCAATACAAAAATTGTCTTGTAAGTTTATTTCCTTTAAAAATTCATACCAATGATGCATTTTGTTTATAATTACCAAAATATATATTTTTCACATTCAACTAAATTAAAAAAATAAAAAACTGTTGAAACCCACACGAGAAGCCTGAAATTCATCTATGATTTTGTACTTTTTAGTAAATAATAAAAATTATATTAAGAGAAATATGACGTTAGCACTAATAAGAAAAATTGTCTTGTTAGCCCTGCTCAAAATATTTTTACTTAAATTCACTATTTCTATAATTGAGTTAGAGGTGTGTTCTTAAAATTTATTATAAAGATTATAGATCAATTCAAATATTCTTTATTAATATTAAAACAAATTAAGACAGTATTTGCATATGTAACTTAATTTCGATTTCAAATTTGTTTGCATTCCATTTTAAATTTTGATTTGGGCCTAATGATAAAACATAGTTCAGTGCCATAATATATTTTTGGATCATTGCATGATTGGATCTGTTATTTCAATAATATTGATGGACTAAAACCTAAACATAATTATTATTTTAATCAAGGACCTATTAACTAGTACACTTAGGAACAATTTAAATATTTTTTAAAAAATAAAATGAAAGTATATTTATAAAAACTAGGGTGTTAATAACAAAAATCAACCTCAATGGAGTTTGGGCTCCTAAGGACTGGACTTGGAAAAGAAACATACCTGTAGATTTTCTTCTTCTTTTGAATGTATGTTGAAATCGATATTTATACCTTTCCTTATTACTAAGCTCACATACCTATCCAAATTTCTTTAATACCTTTTTCTAGTGCCGTCAAAATGGGTTGAAACCCGTGAGTCAATCTGACTTACCACGGGTTTGAGCTGGATTGGGTTGGAAAATATGCAAAAATTTTGATGCGGGCCAATTTTGACCCGGCTCACACGGGTTGAACCTGTGGTGGTTAGGGTTGACTCACCAAATCACATATTTTTTTAATTAAATTAAATTAATTATTCAAATCGTATTTTTTTATTGAAATCAAATTAATTAAATTAATTATTCAAAATGCACAGCCTTTACTTAACAATAGTGCCTTTCGCGCGGCTATCTTTCCAAAAGTTCTCCTCTGCAAATAAAACCCTAAGATTATAGATTGGATAATATTATAGATGGAGATAAAGAGGAATATGCTTCAAGAGAGCATAATACTGTGGATTTATCCATTCAGGACTCCAATTTAATAAATGGATAATATTATAGATTGGATAATTCACGAATATACCATTTGTTTTATCTTGTTTTTAGACCTATCTACAAACATGACAATTTTATCTTGTGCTATATATTTTTGTTAACAGCTATATGTAGTTTCTTGGTGAAAAAAAAGTTAATTAAGTGCGCCAATGAGCCAACCCGTTTCCCACCAATCTGTGGTGGGTCGGATCAGGTTAGAATTTTTTCGGCTCGCAAATAAATAAGTCGGGTTGGGTTGACTCACTAAATAACTAACCCGTGATGGATCGAATAGGGTCGGGTCAGGTTACCCGTTTTGACAACTCTACCTTTCTCTTTCATTTCCCGTTGCTAAGTAATCAATAAAATAAAGTCGAAGGAGCTAAGAAAACACAAACGTGTTAATAGAGCAACATATTACTTTTTTAATAATAAAATAAAATCAACAATAAATGAAAAATTAGAGGAGAATGACGTAGTTAAGTTCTTAACCCTATATGTTTTATGTGCATTAGTTAACGAACTCTATGTCGTGGTTTCTGGTGTATGAACTTCAGCATGCTATGATGTTATTTTTTCCCTCTTCTTATAGATAGTAGAAACTAATAACAATAATAATAATAATAATAACAATAACAATAATAATAATAACAATAACAATAA